CCCGGCACAAACTGGTGGACACTCGACTACTCCAGACTCATCTCGTTTGTATCGCTATCACATCGTCTCTATAAAACGAATCTATCTATTGGTGGAATATCAGATTATGGGGGAATGGCTTCAATTAGGATTGCTGTGTTAGGGGTGAGTTTTTTTTGCTGTTCACTACCTGCCAATCGGGTAGGATTTTGGGCTAATTGTGTGCGTTGGATAGAGTGGAATCTTTGTTCAGGAAGAGCATCTTCCGGCAGTCGAAGCCTGCTCAGATGTAGTTCTGAAGGCTGTATAATCTCGCTCGAAAGCCTCTGCGACTAAGCTTTTACAAGCCAAGTCGAGAGTAGATATCTACTCCGATGATTCCGGGAATTGCCTGGACGCACTATTCGCGCGGTCCAATATCCAGGCTGTGATCATTGCGTAACTTTCTCCTATATACCCTCCCCCCCAAAAATTATTTGACCCTGTACTGACAAACCCCCCGGTCTCCCAATTATCGTCCAACCCGAAATAATCAAAAAAAGCTCTCAAAGCCGGCAAACATGTCCTGGGCGAGAAACCCGTTGCGAAAGACCCTGCACAAGCTCGCGAGTTAATATCCTACAAAAGGTCATACCCAGACCTAAATTAGAGCGTGGCCGAGATCTTTCGCTTCCAGGAAGCCTGGCGGCACGCCCGCCTGGAAGTGACTGCCCTCAGTCGGGTCATCAACTTCCGCTCGCGCGTCTGCGGGCTCGTCAGCCCGGGTGGGAAATACTACGAAACTTCCTGGCGCAAGACACCAGAATACCAAGGTGGCTTCCTCCCCGACGGAGGCGTGCATGCCATCGCGGGGATCCGCATCCTACTCTCCAACGAAAAGATAACGAAGGTCGCTGCCTTCACGACGTCCAATTTCGAGCACTTTTCGCCTGTGGATACCATCTCTGCTATCATCAAGACGGATAAAGGCGTTGTGGGGAGCTTCGATATCAGTTTCGGCACAACCTTTGAAGGATGGGAGTTTGCAGTTGCGTGCGAGAATGGGAGCGTTACTGTGCGGCCTGGCGACGAGGTCGCCGTTCTCAAGCGGAAGCCCGAGGGAGGCTTTGAGGACGAGGTTGTCACGAAGTTTCCGGATGATAAGAATGGGGTTGGGCAGGAGGTTGCTGCGTTTGCGAAGGCGGTTATTACGGGGATCCCGGATGAGAGGCAGCGCCGGAACTTGCTGTGGGGGAGTTGGAGATGGTGGGATTTTTTTCTTTTCTTTTGATCTTCAATGATATTTTCCCGCCTTCGTTTTGGTAAAGGGGATATGGGCTGACGGTGCCATGTTATGATTAGACTGAGAAGATGTTGCGGTCTGGAGAGAATGATGGGACTGTAATGGAGATTAATGGAGGGTTGACGGTATAGATACAACTCGAGATAGTTAGTTGTAAATTACGGTATTGTAGATTATCTCTAACCCACGATACCATGGTAATTAGACTTTCGAGCTATTGCAAATGGGGAGGAACTCAGAGTAGGGACCCTGAAGCCCTAACAGACAGCCCTATGTATGGCTAGAATATTATTTCATTCCCCGCTTCACCCCACCTTACGAGGTTACGAACACATAAGCAGCGTAATTCACGAGTGACCGGGGATGAGCGCAAGTACATTTTCTATACCTTTATCTAAAAACCAATACCGGTAGTAAAAGAACTTCCCGCATTGCATTGAATTCCCGAAGGACCATATTCGCAACACCAATGTTACAGTAAGGAAATTTCTTCACGACCTATTAAACCTCCTCCCTCAAAATGGGAATAACGTTCTTCCAATATCCATCGCCTAACAGCTCCTATTTCAGCTCTCAAAAAAAAAAAATTCTATATATATATATTTTTATAGCTGAGACAAGAACACAATGTCTCTACTGTACTCCCCATCCATCAAAAACCCAGCGTGAAAAATTCTCCATACTGGCAGTGCATCCAGCAAGTAAAACGTATCTGTCGTATCGCGAGCATCATCTATTGGCCCGCCACTATTCCCTGGAAGACCTAAAACCCGGATAATTCCGAGGGCAATGCGGCCGGCCCGCGTACCTTTTATGAGGGAAAAAAAATTAATTTTTCTATCGTACTGTGCAGTGCATTCAAACCTCGACTTCAATTTCCCTGCCACCTGTCTATCTACTATCTTCCTCATCACTCTTTTTTTTTTCCTCATTTGTTCCCAACTGTCAATTTTCATCGAAATCTTTACCAATTTCCTCACAGGGCGAAGGGTTGAGTTGAGTTGAATCAATAAATAAATAAATAAAAAAAAAAGGTCAGGGATTGCTGAATTGATCTATCGAGTTACACTAAACCTACCCGGACCATGATGAACGCTTCGTTGCGAACTATTCCTGCTCGGGGATTTCGGTTACATGTGAGGGGCTCAGGAGCAGGAACGAGAAGAGGACTGCAGGTCGTCACGGGGCAAGGGAGATGCCCCGCGGTTACTACGTCTGCTCGAGTAAGAGGAGGAGCTGGTGGTATCCTGAATGTTTGCAGCAACAACACTACCTCCTACACCAACATCACAAGTGCACGGTTTATTAAACAGTTTTCAACGAGCTCTTACGCTATGGTATGTTTCTTCTGTTCTTTTTCTTTTCTTTCTGGCTTTGCCATTTGGGGATTGGTTGGTGAGTGAGTTGAAGCTAATTGTCTGTTTTCTTGGTTATTTGTTTCGCAGGCGGATAATTTCAGAATCGAGAGAGATGCCTTCGGCGAGATCAAGGTTGAAGCAGGCAGGTACTGGGGAGCGCAGACTGAACGGTTTGTTTTTTATTCCATCTTGCTTGCTTACATGCTCGCTTGCTTCAATTGACAAGTGAAGCTGTCGAGAGCTAACAATAATGACGCTTTCTCCAGCTCCCTCACAAATTTCAAGATTAACCAACCCTTTGATCGCATGCCCCCGGCTATCATCAAAGCTTTCGGCATCCTCAAGCGTGCAGCGGCAACTGTGAACATGGCCCACGGCCTACCCGAGGACATCGGCAAGGCAATTCAACAGGCAGCGGACGAAGTCATTTCCCTGAAACTCCTCCCGCACTTCCCACTCGTCGTCTGGCAAACCGGCAGCGGTACACAGTCCAACATGAATGCGAATGAGGTCATCAGCAACAGAGCTATCGAGATCCTGGGAGGGGAGATGGGCAGTAAGAAGCCGGTTCATCCGAACGATCATGTCAACATGAGTGCTTCGTCCAATGACACCTTCCCCACCGTGATGCATATCGCGGCCGTCATGGAGATTGAGGAGAAGTTGTTGCCCAGTTTGAAATCTTTACTGGCAGCTTTTGAGGAGAAGGTTAAGGCTTTTGAAAAGATTATTAAGATTGGGAGGACGCATCTTCAGGATGCTACGCCTTTGACATTGGGGCAGGAGTTCTCGGGATATGCTACTCAGTTGGCATACGGTGTTGAGAGGATCGAGTCTACTCTTCCGAGACTTAAGCTTCTGGCCCAAGGAGGAACTGCTGTTGGCACTGGGCTCAACACCAAGAAGGGGTTCGACGTTGCAGTGGCCGCGGAAGTCTCAAAGTTGACTGGAATCGAATTTAAGACTGCGCCAAATAAGTTCGAAGCATTGGCAGCCCATGATGCAATTGTCGAGGCTAGCGGGGCTCTTAACACACTCGCCTGTTCTTTGATGAAAATCGCCAACGACATTAGATACTTAGGATCTGGTCCCCGTTGCGGTCTCGGTGAACTAAGTCTTCCAGAGAACGAACCCGGAAGCTCTATCATGCCCGGGAAAGTCAACCCAACCCAATGCGAAGCCATCACTATGGTTTGCGCACAAGTAATGGGTACCCTCCCCTCTCCTCTTTCTCCTTCTGCCCATCAACCCTAACTAACTGACTCCGTCCAGGCAACAACACCGCCATAACTGTAGCCGGCTCACAAGGCCAATTCGAACTGAACGTCTTCAAACCCGTCCTCATCAAGAACCTCCTGCACTCCATAATCCTCTTAGCCGACGGCATGGCCAGTTTCAAAGACAACTGCATCGTAGGAATCCAAGCGAACGAGGACAAGATTGAAAAACTCCTCCACGAGAGCTTGATGCTGGTCACCTGTTTGAATTCAAAGATTGGGTACGATATGGCGAGTAAAGTTGCCAAGAACGCACATAAGAAGGGGATTACACTAAAGCAGTCAGCGTTGGAGTTGAAGGCTTTGACTAGTGAGGAGGTATGCATTTATTTATTTACCCTCCTTTCCTTCCTTCCTTTCCTTCAAGCTAGCGGTTTTGATGGATGTATAGCTGATGGGGAATCTTTAGTTCGATCAACTTGTTCGCCCGGAGCTTATGATTGCTCCTAAATAGGTAAATAAATAAACAATTTTGTGGTTGGGTAGCTACTCGGATAGTGGGCGAAGGATTGGAAAATGAATGCTATCGTTCTTCTGATACAATGGCTTCAGTATGGGCGTGATTACATTCTCTGTTTTTTATTTTTATTTTTTAAACTACTATTGCTGGGTGCAAGCTGTGGACAGTAGAAAAAACTTGTAGAGAAAAATCCCCTCTTAAATAAAAAAAAAAAACAAAAACAAAAACCCTCATAAATATCTTCGTTTTCTAGTTAGAGGTCTTTTCTTCCCTTTTCATTGAACAGTGGAGTCGTCAGTCATGTACGATATTTGTAACGATAAATTGAAACGGAAGCTAGACAAGTACAGTACAGTACTCTACCACCAATTCAACGAACCCAAGAATAGACTAAATGAAGTAAACAACAATAAAATCAAAAACATTTTGACAAACCACTACTCTACTAGCCGTTTTTTAAGTCTCCGGAATGTGAGTTATATGTTCGTGAGGTCAGGTTACGGTATCTCTCAATATTTGGTGTTTAAGTGAGGCTTTCAATGATACCATAACCGAATCACCTCTGTTTTTTTTCCCATTCCGGAGGCTAAAAAAAAACGGCTATTGCAAGGGAACCAACCAGGAGGAAGGGAGACAAAAAAAGTTGGACGTACTGGGAATCGAACCCAGGACCATCTCAAAGTTTTCAAGACCTCGGAGAGATCATTGCAAATGAGATATTATACCCCTAAACCATGCGCCCTTGGTATACTTTTTGACTCAAATATAACGTGATAAATTGATTTTGCTGGGTGAGAAGGCTGGACCTCATGGGTAAGTTGGATTTATTCCTTATTTCTTTGTTACAGTCTTCACCGGGGGTGGCAAAACTGGGCTGGTGGTGAATAGGAGGGTGGTGGTATAACTGAACTAAATATAAATATTAAGAAGATCTATACTCAACTGGTCTTAGCATGAGATATACACTATGCAGTTCTCATGTTATAGGATAAAGTAGTAGATAAATAATGAAAAAAATATCCTTTTAGCTCTGGATGAAGGAGAGGTAAAATAAAAGAGAAAGAGAGTGAAGTCTGTAGAAATTTCTGTAAAATTGAGTAAGAGGATAGAAGAATTAAAGAGGGTGAAGATGAAGTTATTTATAAAGAAATAGCTCTAACATTAAGTGATTTTTGAAATGGTTATCTCCCACTCTGTCTCATGGTTTACTCCTAGAAATTGACTATATATAATCTTCATCAGAAAAATAATTACTTGCATCTAGTGCATCCTGTGCACCTGATGTACAGGGTGCTTACAATGATAACCATTAACTAGGACACAATGTTAAAGGGATGTTGTGTCCTGACTTTTTCTTGTAGTATAGCCTGGGTCCTGACATGGACCCTTACATCAGATAAATCCTGGCAACATCTGATCCTGTACTGTTGCATCCTAACAACCTCTAATTCTTAGCTGTTAGATCCAGACAATGTTTGATCTTAAGTTATTGTATTCTGATAACATGTAATCATGGTGTCTTTTGTCTAGATATTGGATCCTCAAATAGTATATTATAGGATGTTTATGATACCAGACATACTAGAAGTATGATCCTTACATAGGACCTAGGTCACTAGATTCATTTTTTTAGAATAATTTCAATCTCATATATTTGATTTAAATTTATAGCTAGCCAGTATACAGGAGGATGAATGTTCTAGAGTCAGGACTCTCATAATGAGAAAATACAATTCCTATAACAGCCTATAACCTTACAGAGAATGATGTTGGGTATATATAGCTAGATGAGTTTGATAGCTAGCATTGAGGAGATCCAGGATCATGTGTCTGTGCCAGGATAGGATATTAAGCCATTGAGATATCTGTCTTTGAAGGTAGTAGACTTTTACTAGTAAAGACTATTTTTATAACAGCTTGTAACTTCATGGAGAATAGTGTCAGGCTGATATTACTAGGTGCATTGGAATGTCAGCATTAAGAGGATTAAGGAATATATTGATATGTCAGGATAGAATGTCAGAGCATTGAGGTATCTATCTTTAAAGTCAGCCATTTTTATTAGTAAAGAGTATTTGCATAATAGCTTGTAACTTCATGGGGAATGATGTCAGATAGCCATTGCTAGGTGTGTTGGAAAAACAATATTAAGAGGATTCAGGAACTAGTTGATGTATCAAGATCTAATATTAGAGTGTGGAGCTATCTGTCTTCAAAGTTAGCAGTCTTTTACCAGTAAAGAGTATTTCTATAATGGCATGTAACTTCATGGAGAATGATATTGGGTAAATGTTGTAGGGTGCATTGGAAAGCTGGAGTTAAGAGGATTTAGGAATTGGTTGATTTATCAGGACCTAATATTAGAGTGTAGAGATATCTGTCTTTCAAGTCAGTAGTTTTTTACTAGTAAAAACTATTTTCATAAGAGCCTATAACTTTGTGAAGAATGATTTCAGGCAGACAGTACAGTATGCATTGGAAAGTTGATATTGGGAGGATTCAGGAACTAGTTGATGCATCAGGATCTGATGTCAAGCTGTGGAGCTATCTGTCTTTTAAGTAAGTAGTTTTTTATAAATTAAGAATATTTCTAAAACAGCTTGTAACTTCATGGAGAATGATATTGGATAGATGTTGCTAGTGCTAGGTGTATTAGAAAGCTAGCATTGAGGAAATTCAGGAACTGCTTGATATGTCTGGATCTGATATCAGATTGTGGAGTTATCTATTTTTGAAGTCAGCAGTGCTTTATTGGTAAAGACTATTTTCATAACACCTTGTAACTTCAGTTCATGGAGAATGAGCTTGGGTAGATATTGCTGCATGAGTTAGAAAGCCAGTATCAAGAGGAATTAGGAACTAGTTGATGTATTAGGATTTGACATCAGGGTGTGAAGCTATCTATCTTTAAACTTAGTAGTTTTTTACCTGTAAAGAATATTTCTATAATAGCCTGTAACTTTATGGGAGAATAACATCAGGTGGACGTCGCTTTATGCATTAGAAAGTTGGTGTTGAGAGGATTCAGGAACTAATTGATGCATCAGGATATGACATCAGGGTATAGAGATATCTGTCTTTAAAGACAGTAGTCTTTTACCAGTAAAGACCATTTTCATAATAGCTTGTAACTTTATGGAGAATGACATTGGACAGACATTACTGGGTGTATTGAAAAGTTTACATTGAGAAGATTCAGGAACTAGTTGGTGTATTAGAATTTGATGTTAGGTCATAGAAGTATCTGTCTTCAAAGTCAGTGCTTTTTTACTAGTAAAGACCATTTTCATAATAGCTTGTAGTGACTTTATAGAGTACAGTATTAGGTGAATGTCAAGGTATTTGTCTTTAAAGTTAGTAGTTTTTTTACTGGTAAATAGAATTTTCATAACAGACTATATCTTCCTGGTATAGAAGAAATCATAGATGGACTTAACTAGATATGTTATAATGTCAACTTGAACATCATATAGTGTTAGCATTAAGGGTCAGCCTGAGATCCACTGGTAGGATTAGACAGTGGATGGTTAAGGAATTTGGTTTTAAACCTTATAGAGAATTATGATGAGTAGATGTATTTGTTAGATGTAACTGTAAACTATGATGAAAAAATGTGTGTGTGAAAAAATAATAATACCTACAGTTGATTAATATATTATACTGACATTTATCACTTGTTTTTGCATTGAATTCAAGTGGCATTTTTTGCTAACTTCACAGTTTTAAAACTAAAACAGAAATCTTAGTAATTTATCTGTTCTCATTTTTTTCATTCCCAATCTAGTTTAGCCTTGTAGAAAAATAGCTAATATGTAGCTAGTATCTGGTTAGTCTTATATCCTATGTTTGTTGTGATGTATTTTATTACAAATTCTTATATTAGGACCCAATTAAGTATTACATCTAATCTCAGGATGCCTAGAATACAATTAAGTATGATGTTTAAACTCAGGATACTACTGAGTATAGCATACAAACCCAGGATACTCAGAGTATAACTAAGGGGGTGTTTGGCATGCCATGATTCTGATTTGAAGTCATTATTTGCACTCAACTCACAATTTGAAATCATGTAGTATTTGGTACACTCACTTTGCCACCTGACTCCAGATCAAGTTGTGATTTAGGAAATACTTATCTGATTTGGGGTTGAATAATGTGACATTGTTTTGTAAAGAAATTAAGGTAAAGCACTCAGTTTTCCACCTACAGGTAGGGTAACCAAATTGTTTTTTATTTTTTTACCTTCCCACCAGTCAGTTTTGGAAAGTTATTACTGCAAACTTGGTACCAAACATACTGACCAACTCCACCAATCTCCCAAAATACAAGGAATTATTAGCATCAAAAGGCTACCAACCAAGCAACCACCAAAGCTTTGTCAAAATAGAGAATACAAATAAAGGAAGCAGGTGTCCAAAAGCAACCTGGGATGACAATAAGGACAAAGTCCTTCTTGATGAGTTGTTGAAACAGTGTGAGCTGGGTCGTAGAGCTGGAAACAGTTTCAAAATCCAGGCCTGGAATGATGTTACCACAACTTTTAACAAAGCCTTCTCACTACCAGTTGATCTTGAACAGGTGAAGTCACAAGTACGAAGAGTATGTAGTACAAAACTTCTTTGGTGTTGATCTTAGAAATAACTATTATGAATAGTCTGTAGACTGTTTATGAATAAATATGGTAACAATTGGACTATAGTTAAAACAATTATATGAGACCTTCGAAACATTGAAGAGTAACTCAGGGTTTGGATGGAATGAGGCCAACCAATATGTTACTGCATCTGAGGCGGTTTGGACAGAGTATATTAAGGTGAACTACAATTCTTAGAATTATCAGTATATTAAAAGAGAATTTCTGTGCTTTACTAATCATCAACTACTAGTACCTGATAGATTTAGGCACATCTTGCAGCACAGCAGTTTAAAGGCTCAACTTTAAAGTTTTATCATGTAACTGGGGAACCCTAAGGGAAGATAGATCCCAAGTTTGCGACCGCACTGAAGTGACTCAAAGATCAAAAGCGATAATCAACAGTAGAGTAAAGAAGAATCAAAACAGTAAAACTTAATATCATTAAGCCGCAGCTTCACTCAGTAAGTTTTCTCAAGAGGTAGTTGATTGTCAGAGTAGAGTGAGACTCGCATATAGTTTAAGTAGAATATCATATACTACTAGTTCCCATCCATCACTACTCTAACTTAATCATGAGCACACCCATCTCTTCCAGGCTGGCCAACACATACCACTCAGGACATTATCCCTTTGTGGATGTCCATCCGCTCTGGCTAAATCTCCTTCCGACATTAAGTATTTCAGTGCTGCATCTCTAATATGACTGCAGGAGAAAAACTCTTCATATTATTGACATGCTAGTGGCGAACTATCATGCAACTGAGGAGATATACCATTTACGAACTCTTATACCCATATGCATTTTATCTATGCAAGCCTTTAGTAGACATAGCTCTCATGATCGAGCTGAACCTTCTACTTCATTCTAGTCAAGTCTTTACCTGATAGGAAAGTCTACTTGGCTCCTCCAGTGAGGTACCTTAATGATTGGCCTGGTGGGTGCTACCTTCAGTCAACTCCCTAAGAGTACCCCTACTGTGATAAGAATCATGCTTTTAGAGTTCTCAAACAACCCCAATAGTCTTACAGTGATTGAGCATGAGTTGTGTCTATATGCGATTCACCTGCCCAGAGATGCTTCAACATCTTCCGGGCCACCCTGG